ACATGCAGTTCTCAGCATGGCACACAACTAGAGAGGAGAAGATCCTTGCCTTCCTCATCACAAGGATGATGAGGGGCCTGGAACATCTGCCCTATGAGGAGAGGCTGAGGGAGCTGGGCCTGTTCAGCTGGAGAAGAGAAGGCTGAGAGGGGACCTGAGCAGTGTCTATAGGTACCTCAAGGCTCTTCTCACTGGTGGAGAGCGATAGGACAAGAGGAAACGGCCACAAACGGAAGCACCAAAAGTTCCACAGGAACTCAAGGAAAAATTCCTAACATTGAGGGTGCCGGAGCCCTGGAACAGGCTGCCCAGAGAGGTTGTGGAGTCTCCTTCTCTGGAGACCTTCAACCCGCTTGGACACAGCCCTGTGCTCTGGGTGACCCTGTGTGTGCAGGAGGTTGGACTAGATGATCCCTAGAGGTCCCTTCCCACAGCATTCCATGATTCTATGATTCCCATGACCTCACCTGAGGAAGGAGACCACCAGGGAGTTCTTGAACTTGGAATAGGTGCGGGAATTGAAGCGGTTCATGCCGCTGAAGCCCTGGCACGGGGGGCCGCCGCAGAGCATCTCCACGTCGCCCTTCTGCGGCAGCTTCTGCCCCAGCGAGTTGGTCTTCTCGCCGGACATGACCAGCTTGAGGAGGACGTTGCAGTCCTCGGTGAACACGGTGCTGCCGGGGTTGTTGAGCCGGAAGGCCTGAGCCGCCGGTTCCCACATCTCGATGGCCCACAGCGTCTCCGAAACGCCTGGAATGCGGAAAAGGCGCTCGGAAAAGCGGGAATGCGGCGGCGGCGTTCCCGGAGCGGCCGCTCACCTGCCTGGTGGAAGCCCTCGGAGAGGCCTCCGCAGCCGGAGAACACGTCCAGCGTCCGCAGTTTGGGAAGCTTCGGATCGGGAGGCTCCTGCTCGCTCTGCTCGCAGCTCGGAGACGCTTTCCCTTTGCCTTTCCCTGCGAATAGAGCCCAGGATGGCACCAAGGGGCATTCCACACATTTTGAGCTCATTCCCGCCCATTTTAAGCCCGTTCCTGCCCATTTTGGGTCCATTCCCACCCATTGGCGCCCTTGGCGCTGCAAATCCCTCTTCCCTCCTCCGCAACACCGGCTTAAAGCACCTTTCCATGTGCCCTTCCACTGGGAATTTCCTTGCTTTTCCCGTGCGATCCCTTCCCACCCAGTCATAACTCGGGATAGCTCCCTGCGTTGGCAGCGCTGGAATGAAGCCCCCGCCACGGAGCAGGGAAAAGGCTCCAAGATATCCAAGATATCCAGGAGCAGCGGGAGACGGCAGCAGCACAAAGCACAGGGGACCCTCCGTATTCCCTGCCGGATTTATTTCGGAAAAACCCCCCACACTGGGAATTCTCTTGGAAATACAGCTGCATCCCGCGGGAGCGCCTGGGAATTACCCCAGGGAATTACCTTTCCCTTTCCCTTTGCCCTTCCCTTTATTCCCAGCGCTCCGCGCGTGGTTGGGAGGATCCTCGAAACTCTTGGTTTTCGCGTTGTAAGCCTGGAAAAAGAGGGGACACAACGAGCTGGCCACCGGGAACGACCCGGAGCGCCGCGGAGCCGCCGGGAACGCCGCGGCTCCCTGACCTCCAGGAAATAGAAGCGGTCCAGGCCGCCGGCGGAATAATCCTGGATGCTTTCCGTGAGGTCCTCGCCGTACACCACGGTGCAGCGGCCCTGCACGGCGCGGAAATCCACCGTGGCCTCCTCGTCGCTCCAATACAACAGGTTGATGTCCGCGTGGTAACTGGCCTTCATGGACTTGTGCGTGTTCTCCGGCCTGCCGGGAAGGAAGGCGGGAAAAGATCCGGAAAAATCCCGGGATGCAGCCCGAGGTGGTTATTCCCTCCTCCTGCGTGTTTGCCCGCGCGCGGTGGTGGAAAAAGGGGCTTTTTTTAAGCCAAAAGGAGCTTTTTGGCCGCACGCGGTGGTGGAAAAAGGGCTTTTTTTAAGCCAAAAGGAGCTTTTTGGCGCTGAATCGGCGAGCGAATTTAAAGGAGCTTTTTGGCCGCACGCGGTGGTGGAAAAAGGGCTTTTTTTAAGCCAAAAGGAGCTTTTTGGCGCTGAATCGGCGAGCGAATTTAAAGGAGCTTTTTGGCTGCACGCGGTGGTGGAAAAAAGGCTTTTTTTAAGCCAAAAGGAGCTTTTTGGCCGCACGCAGTGGCGGAAAAAGGGCTTTTTTTAAGCCAAAAGGAGCTTTTTGGCGCTGAATCGGCGAGCGAATTTAAAGGAGCTTTTTGGCGGCACGCGGTGGTGGAAAAAGGGCTTTTTTTAAGCCAAAAGGAGCTTTTTGGCCGCACGCGGTGGTGGAAAAAGGGCTTTTTTTAAGCCAAAAGGAGCTTTTTGGCTGCACGGGGTAGTGGAAAAAGGGCTTTTTTTAAGCCAAAAGGAGCTTTTTGGCTGCACGCGGTGGTGGAAAAAGGGCTTTTTTTAAGCCAAAAGGAGCTTTTTGGCCGCACGCGGTGGTGGAAAAAGGGCTTTTTTTAAGCCAAAAGGAGCTTTTTGGCCGCACGCGGTGGTGGAAAAAGGGCTTTTTTTAAGCCAAAAGGAGCTTTTTGGCCGCACGCGGTGGTGGAAAAAGGGCTTTTTTTAAGCCAAAAGGAGCTTTTTGGCCGCACGCGGTGGTGGAAAAAGGGCTTTTTTTAAGCCAAAAGGAGCTTTTTGGCCGCACGCGGTGGTGGAAAAAGGGCTTTTTTTAAGCCAAAAGGAGCTTTTTGGCCGCACGTGGTGGTGGAAAAAGGGCTTTTTTTAAGCCAAAAGGAGCTTTTTGGCTGCATGCGGTGGTGGAAAAAGGGCTTTTTTTAAGCCAAAAGGAGCTTTTTGGCGCTCAATCAGTGAGCGAATTTAAAGGAGCTTTTTGGCTGCACGCGGTGGTGGAAAAAGGAATTTAAAGGAGCTTTTTGGCGCTGAATTGGCGAGCGAATTTAAAGGCAAAATTCAGGCCAAAAAACGCGAAAAAAAAGGGAAAAAAGGGAAAATCCAGCTGCTCTGCTGCCCACGGACCTTCCCGTGTTCCAGGGCTGGAAAATCCCGGGAAGGAGGAGCCGGCACGAGGCCCTTTCCCACCTGTAGAACTTGTAGATGCGCAGCTTGATGTCGGCCTCGTTGGGCTTGCCGTTGCTGCGGATGTTGCAGAAGATCTCCTTGACGCGGCCCACGCGGTACGGGTCCGGCGCGTCCAGGTTGCTGCCCTTGATGTACTCCGAGTATTTGCGGTAGTGCTCCGGGTGCAGCTCCTCGTCCACCGCCTCCTTCTTGGGGCGCTTGGCCGGGCTGGCGGGTTTCATGCTGGGAATAACGGGAATGGGGGAGGGAAGGGCGTTGGGAGGCTCTTTTCCCACCCGCTGGATGCGGCATCTGAGGTTTCCTCCTCCCCTTCGCAAGGATTCCTCGTGGAATGGGCGGGAATGGGCTGGAAGTGGGCAGGAATGGGCAAAGGAATGGGTGGGAATGGACCCAAAATGGGCAGGAATGGGCTTAAAATGGGCGGGAATGGGCTTAAAATGGGCGGGAATGAGCTCAAAATGTGTGGAAATGGGCTCAAAGTGGGTGAGAATGGACCCAAAATGGGTGAGAACGGGCTCAAAATGGGCGGGAATGGGCTCAAAATGGGCGAGAATGGGCTCAAAATGGGCGGGAACGGGCTCAAAGTGTGTGGAAATGGGCTCAAAACGGGCGAGAACGGACCCAAAATGGGCGGGAATGAACCCAAAATGGGCGAGAACGGGCTCAAAATGGGCGCGAATTGGCAGGAATGGGCCTAAAATGGGTGGGAATGGGCCCGAAGGAGGGGATAATGGCCCCAAAAGGGCAGGGAATTGGACCCAAAGGGGGAATGATCCCAAAGTGGGGGGGGAATGGGCCCCAAAACGGATGGGAATGATCCCAAAGTGGGCGGGAATGATCCCGAAGAGGGTGGGGGGGAATGGCCCCAAAGGGAGGGAGACTGGACCCCAAAGAGGGGGAATGATCCCAACGCGGGGGAGCAGCGAACCAATTTTTTTGGGAAATGGTCCCAAAATGGGGGAGAATGGACCCAAAATGGGGGAGAATGGACCCAAAGTGGGGGAGAATGGACCCAAAACGGGGTAGGGAAGGGGAATGGGGAGCCTAAAAGGGGAGGGACGATTCCCAGACGGCAGCAGGGAATGATCCCAACCCATAGGGAGGAAAGGCCTGGATGCAAGGGGGAATCACCCCCAAAACAGGGGGAATCGTCCCCAAGCCACCCGCGGAGGTGACACGTGCGGGTTGTCACCCCCGGCCCGCTCTATCCCAGCTCTTCCCAAACGGAGTCGCGCTCCATCTCTCTTCGGAAGGAAGGAAAAGACACGGAGGGGCCAAAAGGCGGCCGAGAAACGTCGCGATTTAAGGCGCCACCCGGGAGAAAAGCGGTTCCGTCTCATCCGGAGGGATGCCAACGGCATTCCCGCTCCGTCCTCCCTCTCCTGGGAGCAACGGGGTCCTTACAAGTGCTTACAGCCCCCTGCAAGCACCAACCTGAAGGAAAAGGCTTCCGGCAGGAGGTAGACACCGTCTCCTACCCTGTACTGCACTCCGTTCTTGGTCGCCAGCGCGTAGAACATCTTCCCGTCCCCTTCTTCCAGGGGCTCGGCCACTTTGGGAATCTCCTTTTGCCTCACCTCGTCCAGGCGCGTGCAGCTCATGCAGAACCTGCGCGGAACGCCGCACGTCGCCGCCGGCTCCGCGCGGAAACCGGGAAGCGCTTCCCGTTTTTCCCTCCGCGCTCACTTGTACTTGTTGTCCTCCGTGGGCTGCGTTTTCGGAGGGGACTCGAAGCGGGCGTATTCCTGGTCGTACCACATCTGGTAAAAGTAGGTCCTGCCGTCGTCCTCCACCATCTTGATCTCCATGTCCAGCCCGCCCTGTTGGGATGGGGACGTTGGAAGGGCCCGGTGGCACCGTCGGTGGCCGCGGGGACCGTCACCCACCTCCATGGCCCAGTTTTCCGAGGGCGCCTTGTAGATGACTTGGACCTTGCCGTGGATGTAGGAGAGCTGCATGTCCTCGCACTCGTCCACCAGGAAGAGCTCCAGGGGGTCCGAGGTGGCTCCCAGGACCGTGTCGGTGCCGGGGCAGAACCAGTGCGCGTGGAACATCTGCCCGCTGCTGTCCTCCCACATGGCCGTCACCCTGGCCGAAGAAGGGAGCCGGGTGACACCGGGAAGCGGAGGTGGCGCTTGTCCCCAAGGGCCACCCGGTCCCCAATGCACCCACCTGGCTAAGTAGAGGGGCTTGGTGGGGTCGTCGGGGCTCACGGAGACGCAGTCGCCCACCTCCAGCGTCTCCGAGTCGATGCAGACTTTCTGGTAATAATCCTTCTTCCCGTCGCTCTGCGGGGACACGGGGACGGTCACGGAGCCCGCGGGACCCCCAAGGCCCCCCCCGTTGTCCCCGCTCACCTTGACGGGCTCCCCGACCCAGGAGATGCGGCTCTTGTTCTGCTTCTTCTTCCTGCCCTGCAGCATCTTCTTGGGCGAGGGCATCTCGGGGATGTTGTCGTCCACCTCCTCGTCCTCATCGGCCTCTCGCACGGCCAGATTAGGGCACCTGCGTGGACACGGTGGCCGTCCCCGCACCCCGGCCCCCCCGCCACTGTCCCCTCTGTCCCAAAAGGACGTCCCCAAGGTACCTCCTCTGCAAACAGGCCTGTTTGCTGCGGCCGCTGCCCCCGAATTTCACCATGTTCTGGCAGGCCTTGCACTTGCCACACTCGGGCTGCTGGCAGACCTGCAGCAGGAGGGAGGACGGGCTCAGCAGGATGGGGACATCGTTTTGGGGCCAAACCGCGGCGTTTCGGCACGCCGGTACCTCGCAGACGCCGCAGCGGCGGCGCTTGGTGGCGTTCTCCTTGTCGTCCTCCTTCTCGTCCTTCTCGATCTGCTCGGAGAAGAAGGTGTCGAAGATGAGGTACACCAGCTTGGTGGTGGTGGCCTTGGTGGGGCCCTTGTCCTTGTCTATTTTGGTGGGGTGCCGGATGGCCTGGCGCCGCGCCGCTCGCCTGCAAGCAAGGAGCCGTGAGCGCGCAAAATCCCGCGCGGATCCGGCCGATCCGGTGGGAAAACATTCCAAAGGGGGGGCTCACCGTTTTCCCAAGGTGACGCCGGCCAGCTTGATGAGGTCCCGCATGCAGGGGGTGATGAGCACGGGCGGCTCGTCGCTGTCGCCGGCCTCGTCGTAGCGCTCCACCGCGAACTGCGCGTGCCGGAGCAGCGAGTCCTCCGTGAAGCGGTGGAAGTCGAGGCCCGCCGGAGGCACCGTGGTCTGCGGGGACGCGCCGGGGCGATTACACCGCGCTGAGGCCGTGCAAATTCATCACTTTGTTGTCATTGTCACCCACCTCGATCTTGTTGAGCAGGTCCTCGTAGCTGACGTCGCGGTTGTTCTGCAGGAACTCCACCACGATCTTGCTCATGTAGATCTTCTCCTGCATGAGCGCGAAGGTGGGCGCGTATTCCTCGCTGGGATCCATCAGGATGTAGTCGGCGAAGGCTGCGGGAGCGCGGAGCTGGTCCGGGAGGCCGCCCGCGCGCGCCG